AGCTCGAGACAAGAACGGTGTTTACATTGATCAGGAGAACTTTGAGTGAGTTATTCATTGGCATTTCTTTAGATGTTTTCACTATGAATTTCGATTGCTTCGGTTGTTGATGCTATATGAAATGGAATTTCAGTGAAATGCAAAGAAGATTGGCCGAGCAAACGGAACAGATCGATGAATTGACTGATAAAGTGGGCGCGACAATGAGTCAACTTCAAACGGTGAATTTTTGTTTTGATTTAGAGTTGTACGATGTGCGGAATAGTATTCATTTTGAGGGCGAGTAACATTTAGCGTTGGCTGAAGATAGTGTTGTTGAATGTTGACGAATAATTATCAGAATTATTCTGCAAGTGTTTAGAAATGTTCAACAATATGTTGAAAATAATGACAATGTTGATGAATGTGTTAGCAATAGTCATCGTGCTGTTAACAGTAATTTATATTACCATTTTTAGTATTCTTCTAATCATTGTTAATATTCTCCTAAAGGCGGTAAATGATTAGAGCAATGTTAATTAATCATTATTAAAATAGTTACTTCTGTTTTGATTAATGAAATATCTATTTATTATTTTGCCATGACTAACAGGAGTAGTGATGATGGTAATGGAATGGTAATAATGAGTAGTCATATTTGCAGCTGATGCAAGACATTGAAATGATGGACGAGCACTACGCAAGAGCGTACGCGCGATGTCAGCATCTGACTGATAAACTGAAACAACGCACTGAAGAGATTGCAGCCCTGAAATTGGTCAGTTTGTTTTGAAATTACTCGAAGCAATTGAACAGTTCAATGTTTCATTGTGATGAATTTCATTTTCGTGTTGTTCATCAGTGAGTTTGAATGCAGGAAATGTCCGAGCTGAAAGCCCAATTAGCGTATCAGAAGCGTGCCGTTGCAATTTTACAAGATGCCGGCGATTCATCGGAATCACAAGCTGTTCAGGTGAATATAAATATTGTGATTTTGTTGATTCAGTGATAATGTTGGTGATTCAAAAGATTGAATATTTATGAATATTTTTTCAGTTGATCGAACAGTGTACGGAAATGTCGACTGATTTGGAGCGTATACATACTAAGGTGGATTCACTGAATGGTATTTGTGCGACGAACAGCGCTCAATTGGACGAGCTCAGAGATGAACACGAGGCACGAACGGAAGCGGCCGTGAAGCGAGCCACATCGATGAATCAGCTGATGCAACAGCAAACGGCTGCGATCGACTCGAATTGTGGTACGATTCATCGAACTTATGTCTTCTTTTATTTGTATTTTTGTTGTTTTTGATTCGTGAATAGATTGTTGTCTGAAACAATCATTCACATTGTAATAGACTCCGTGTGAACAAATCGATTAATTAGCCTCAAAGGATATTCCGTTTGCATGTCAAGGCGATCGAAATCTGTTCATTGATCTGGTGCTTTGGATTATTTGTTATATTAAATTTGTTTGTGATTCGAAAATGAGAATGATGATGGCAGAAATTTGATGCAGCTGATGATACTGC